CAGTCGCGGCAGCAGCGTGCGCTTCAGGAACGGGATATCGAAAAGGGAAAAGCGAAAGGCAAGTCTGCGCCACAAGGGGGCCATGCGGTTCCGCAGGGTCCGAACAAAGGGCCAGGCGGTAAGAAAGGTTCTCACGGTGCTTCTCAGCCTGCGGGAAAAGGTGGCCAGGCCAAGGGTGCAGGTCTGGGTAGCGTCGCCAAGTTTGTGAAAGACCAGAAGCGTAAGCGGTGGCATCGCCATTTGCAACGTGTGGCCGGTACTAAACAGATCTGGGAGGTGCTGGCCTTCTCAGGGCGCTTCGACGTTGATTGGTTAACGCAAGCGTTGCAAGCTGATCACAGTGAGGGCCGTGATGCAGCAGTTCCCGAGGAAGCTCTGCGGCAACAGCGGCGCCGGCTGCACCACCAGAAGGCCGAGGCCATCGCGCGCTACAACGAGGGGGAGCGGCTTTCCCTCCATCTGTCTGCCCAGGCTGGCCAGGCAAAGCCGAACTTCACGCGCAGGCAGCTGGACGTGTTGCAGATGTTTGAGAGCGGAGCGCTGCTTCAAATCCGCAACCAAGCGATTCTGGCGTGCGGGCACGGCCGTCTGTTCAGGGGCGATGGCGACTACCTGGACATCGGCGGCAGCACGGGCGGTGGCTCCAGGCGCATCATCGATTCTTGGCAGCCGCCGGACTGGCGTGACTTCCTCCAAGACGATCAGGACATCTGAGTTTTGCAAGTCTCTCTGCCCGCGGTGCTTCTCAGCCTGCGGTCTGCCGCTCTCCAGCTGCGGTCTCGAGCAGTAGTGTTCGAAAGCATGCGAGTTCCTGCGGTGCTTCTCAGCCTGCAGGTTTCGCAGCCTGCGCTCTGCAGTACAAGTGCTTTTCAGCATGCGACATCCTGCGGTGCTTCTCAGCCTGCAGGGTTCGCAACGTGCGGTTTGCAATGCATTCCTTTTCAGTATGCGAGTTCCTGCGGTGTTTCTCAGGCTGCAGGGCTCCGAGGCTCTTCGCTTCGATGCCAATGTTTTCAGACACCGTAGCTCCGTTCCGTAAACGTCTTCCAAGAGCCGCTCGCAACCTTTTGCAGCTGGCTGTCTGCACGCTTCGCCGGCTTTTGCTGCGCGGACAATTTTCTCACACACGTCAGCGCCGTTTGTAGGCGTCAGAAAAACATGTAGACATTCACGAAGGGCTCAGTCTGTATATCGTCACATCATTACATACGCAGTCGTCGAACACATCGGTGTACATTCAGCGCTTTGTCCTTCTACAGCATTCTTTCCGTTGATAACAGTGTTCTGATGGGTTCGCTTCGTTCTAAAAGCGTTGATAGCAGTGTCTCGTTTGCGGACAACTCATTCTATATCAACTCACTGATACCGAGTTTCCTTTCACCATAAGTGAATGCATACCAGTGTATGTTGGTTACTACAAAAGTGGGTTCCTACAACCGACTTCATGATCGCTATCATCATCGCAGATTTCACTCATCCTCATCACCACGACTGGTTCACGTTGGCCTGCGGTGCTTCTCAGCCTGCAGTTCCTTTCGTTACACTGTAGTTGAAGCCGTTCATGGCAGTGACTCGTTTAAAGACAACTTTAGTATTGGGGGAAGTGTCGATAGCAGCGTTTCTTTTTACTTATACAAGCGTTGATAGCAGTGTCTCGTTTGTGGACAACTCATTATATATCAACTCATTCATACAGAGTTTCTTTTCGCAGCAAGTGAATGCACAGCAGTGTATCTGCATTACTGGCCCCCACTCCATTATCACTATCATCATCAACGATTTCCTACACGCGTGTGCGCGGCGGTCGCCATGAGTGAATAGTTTGCAGAGACTTCTCGCATTGATACCCATGGGTCACTTCAGAGTGAACTCATTTGTGATCTTCTTTCATTGGAAGTTGAATCGGTTGATGGCAGTGCCTCGTTTAAACTCCACTTTGGTATTGCTAGTAGTGTCAATGCCAGCGTTTCTTTTTAATTGTGCAAGCGTTGATAGCAGTGTCTCGTTTGTGGTTAGTTATAACAGCGTTGACAGCAGTGTCTCGTTTGCGGACACCTCATTGTACATCAACTCGCTGATACCGGGTTTCCTATCAACACCATCATCATCATCCTTAACCATGTTTGCTCGAGTTTCACCTGGCCGTCCAGCCGCGGCGGTGCTCCTCAGCCTGCCTTGTCACAATGCCAGCACGCGGCAAGGCATCGCCCCCGCCACCCCCGGCCCCGTGCGATGGCCCGTGGGAGATTCTGCCGGATCCGCCCGCACCGACTCCTCAGCCAGGTGTCGACGTGGTCTTTGAGCAGGCTCACCTCGAAGACATCCGCCGTGCACCAGGGATGGGCGGCAAGACCGCCTGCCAGTGGCAGCGCGCGCTGCGCGCCGAGTGCATTGTCAACAACTTGTCGTTCAAAGACGTAACAAACGACCCGTCCTACGACTGGAAGCAACTGCTTCGGTCTGCCGCTCCGGGTTTCGCTGAGCGCATAATCGGGCAGGGCATCGCCCAGGTTCTCTTTCGCATCATCGAGACAGAGCGCGACCCTAACTACTCCAACACGGATGGCCACGGCAGGCACTTCTTCGAGTTCCGTCGTGCAGACGGTTCAGCCATGCGCCTGCATTACCATAAGAACGGCCGACCCGATGAGCCCACCTATGTCGGTCCACCACGCGCCGTTGCTCAGCCTGCCGTGCCTGAGCCTGGCGCTGCTCAGCCTCATGTTCCTCGTGGCGGCGCTGCTCAGACTGCCGTGCCTGACGGTGGCGCTGCTCAGCCTGCCGAGACTGGCGGTGATGCCCCACTGCTCTTCACACAGGAGCACCTGCAAGAGGCAGCCTGCTCGCGCCAGATTGTGGGCCGCGACGAAGCCAGCGCCGCTCTCCAATCGCTGTTGCACTACCACCATGGCGAGACTGCCCCAGGTGCTGTTGACATCACCGATGGCTCAGCATTTGACTGGCTTCGATGGGTGGCACATATCGAAGGTGCGCGCGACGTCATCCGCAATGGCGTCCACAGGGTCTACGCTGTCCGCTGGAATCCGCACTGGGCTCCAGAGGCCGTCTTCTGCTACGGCAACAACACCTACAGCACACTGGTGCCCCGCAAATCGCGCTACACAGGCTCGTGGAGCCACGCGCGAATTGTGACTCACCGGAACGCCAATTGGGTGACCGAACCGTTGCTATCTGCGGCCCCTGTGGCAGCTACGCCGTGGCTGGTGTTGCGGGATCAAATAACCTGGGAGTGATCTCTGGCAAACGAGATGTGGTGCTTCTCAGCCTGCACTCATGTGACACGCAATGCCGTGCCCTGCAATCGCGTGGTGTTTCTCAGCCTGCACTCGCAGGTCCTTCGGAGGTCAATTGTTATGAGTTCGGCACGGTCTCGGTCAAGTACAGCGTGCTGTGGGGATCCCGAGATGGGGCCTGGCTCAAGGTGCTCAAGACGTACTGGAGTGTCCCAGAGCCGGAGTGCCAGCTGATCCTCGGGAGTTGGAACGGCATTTTCAGGCCGTGGCCGGACACGTTCTGGATCAGGACGGGGGGGTCCGAGCCCGAGATAGATGCTAGCGCTCTGCAGTACAAGTGCTTTTCAGCATGCGACATCCTGCGGTGCTTCTCAGCCTGCAGGGTTCGCAGCGTGCGGTTTGCAATGCATTCCTTTTCAGTATGCGAGTTCCTGCGGTGTTTCTCAGGTTGCAGGGCTCCGAGGCTCTTCCCTTCGATGCCAATGTTTTCAGACACCGTAGCTCCGTTCCGTAAACATCTTCCAAGAGCCGCTCGCAACTTTTTGCAGCTGGCGGTCTGCAGACGTAGTCTGTCTCAGCATGCGAGCTCCCGCACGCTTCGCCGGCTTTTGCTGCGCGGACAATTTTCTCACACACGTCAGCGCCGTTTGTAGGCGTCAGAAAAACATGTAGACATTCACGAAGGGCTCAGTCTGTATATCGTCACATCATTACATACGCAGTCGTCGAACACATCGGTGTACATTCAGCGCTTTGTCCTTCTAGCTGGGTCGCTTCGTGCTGAGGCTGAGGCTGATGCAGGCTGAGGCTGAGGCAGGCTGAGGCTGAGGCCGAGGCCGACGGCAGACTGAGGCTGAGGCTGAAGCAGGCTGAGGCTGAGGCAGAGGCAGGCTGAGGCTGAGGCTGAGGCTGAGGCAGGCTGATGCTGAGGCAGGCTGAGGCTGAGGCTGAGGCTGATGCAGGCTGAGGCTGAGGCAGGCTGAGGCTGAGGCCGAGGCCGAAGGCAGACTGATGCTGAGGCTAAAGCAGGCTGAGGCTGAGGCTGAGGCAGGCTGAGGCTGAGGCAGGCGGAGGCTGAGGCTGAGGCAGGCTGAGGCTGAGGCTGTGACTGCGACTGCCGTTGCCACTGCGACTGTCCTCGCGAATGCGACAACGACTGCGAGAACAGCAGAATTCTACAACTGGATTCTCATCTGAATCTTAAAGGGGAATGCTTCCAGATATGCTCCTACACATCGCTGTTCGGTTGCTTTGCCGGGATAATCTGCCAGTGCCCATCCACCAAGATTGCCCATTCGTCCTCATTGCAACTGCGCAGGAAAGCATCGAACCGCTGTGGTTCAGGGCGTTCGCGCGCTCCCATACCTGAGCCCACATCTCCTCGATGAGTTGGGCATCTACTGGTCGGCCGAATCAGCTACTGAGCAAACTGACTTGGTCCTCCCTCCCCGGATGGCCCAAGTACTTTGTGATTTAGGCTACGCACCAATCCTGCCATACTGCTTGATTTTGAAACTGTTCGCCGCGAACATCCTGTTCCCATACCTGAGCACAGATCTCCTCGATGAGTTGGGCATCTACTGGTCGGCCGAATCGGCTACTGAGCAAACTGATTAGGTCCTCCCTCCCAGGATGGCCCAAGTACTTTGTGATTTAGGAGGATGGCCCAAGTACTTTGTGATTTAGTCTACGCACAAATCCTGCCATACTGCTGGATTTTGAAACTGTTCGCCGCGAACATCTCATGTCCGCTCAGTTGCATAGTCCGTCGCCGTTTTGGCTCAAGCGCGTTTGTGCCCACAGCTGTTACGGCCAGCCACCGCCCCAACGTTGGCACCCGCGGGAGCCGCCATGGCGGCCATGTTCGAGCGCCTCGGTGAGTCGCCGCGGCCGTCGGAGGAGCTCCTGGGCGAGACCGCCGCGGAGGGCGACGCAGACCCAGAGGCCCGCGGGGGCGGGTCGGGGCTGCTCGTGGGCCGCGCAGCGCCGCCTTGTCGGTGCCAAGGAGCGCCCAAGAGTGTGGCTTGTACGGCCGGTATCTTGTGCATGGCCCTGGTCGCGATCACGCTCATGCGCAAGTCTTCTCTGGCGGAGATTGTGGGCGTCGCGACCGTAAGCAGGGCCACTTCGATGGCCGCAGGCAGCGGCGCTGGTAATTCCACCGCAGGCAAGGGCATGGGAAATTCTAGACGAATCGCGTAATCCTACCAGCCTTCTCTCGTTGTCTCTCTTAGCCAAATACATTGATTTTCCGTAGGTTTTGGAATGATTTTGGCTTCTTCGGGACCTCCTGGGGGAGCTCTTTGGCCACTTGGAGCCGTCTTTGGGAGCGGTCTTGGGGCCTCTTGGAGCATCGTGGGAGCATCGTGAGGCATCTTGGGATATCTTGAGCCATCTTGGAGGTCATCTTGGGCTCTCCCAGGCAGTGCCCCCCCAGGATGCCAACACGTGGCCAAAACCTTAGTAACATCAGTGATGTTGGCATTGTCGCTGAGGCCTCTTGGAGCGTCGTGGGTGCCTCTGGGGGGCATCTTGGGGCCGCTTGGGGGTCTCTTGGGGGCCTCTTGGGGGCACCATGGGGGCCTCTTGGGGGCATCTTGGGGCATCCTGGCCACCTCTTGGGGCCCTCTTGGGGCACCCTTGGGAGCCTTGGGAGCACTCGTGGGGCAATCTCGGAAGAGATCGATCAAAGAAGGGGGGTTCCTTAATTTGCGCCACCCCTTCCCCCCCAGGAGGCCAACATGTGACCAAAACACTAGTAAAACCAATGATTTTGGCGTCCTCGCCGCGGCCGTTTTGGACGCCCTGACCGCTCGCGGGGCGCTCCGTCCAGGTCCAGGGGAGGGGGAAGGGGGAGGGGTAAACCCCTTCCCCAAAGGGGAAGAAAGAGGGTTGGAAGAGGAGCCGCCCTAAGCCACCTACGCCCAGAGGGTTGAAGAGATTCCACCGCAGGCAGCGGCGTGGGCAATTCCATTATTGCCGAGAAGACAGGCTGCGCCAACTGGCATTCGTCCTCTCTGGAGGTAGACTTTCGGTCAGATGCAGATTCGTGCGTGGACCTGTGCCGGCAAACTCGGGGATGTCTCGCCGCGAACTTCCAGATCGATAAGTGTGACGGACATCGCCGGGAGGAGAGGTCAGGCGTCGGGGCATGCTACCTCATGAACGAGCCGTGCATCGAGGGGCCGAACGACTGCTGGAACGTGTACACTTTGACATCGGACGAAGTGCAGTCAAACCACTTTGGGTCGCTCATCACACGGGGCGCGGGGTGCTCGAACATCGAGGATATCAGCAGGGATGGGCCAGTCACGGAGTTCAGCTATTACGTATGCCAGAACAATTGCGAGAAGGACCCCGATTGCGTCGGCGTTCTGTTGAAGGCCCCAGGGTGCGTGGCCGCCAAGACAGACAAGGCCGACGACGAGGGGCAGGTGTGCCAGTTGCTGTACGGTGTCTGCGAGGAGGATAAGAGCCCAGACTTCGCCTGCTGGGACGTGACCTACCAGGCAGAGGACACGGGGTCATCGAAGAGGCGCTCCCCGAGCGCAGGCGGTTCGAGCGCCGCAGGCAGTACGAGCGCCACGACGTCAGTCGATCCGAGCGCGAGCACAGGCGGTTCCCAATCCGCAGGCGGTCAGGACGCTGCAAGTGACATGGCACACCTGTTCTCCCTCCAGCAGGATGCGAAAGAAGGTGCCACTCACTTCCGAGTGACAAAGCCAGAATGCTTCAGGGTTGGCGACACGGTCGAACTCTTCCACAGTGACAGCGACTTCGCCCACAGGTACACGATCGCAGGAGTTGGTTCACAGCTCCTATTCTCTCCGCCGCTCACGCACGAGTACTCGCAGGGCACGGCGGTGCTCAGAGTCCACTATCCATACAGCGTGTCGCACTGTGGTGATTTCCCTTCCGACTGAGGCGCCCGCCCGCATGGGAGACCGATCGACGTAGGCCGAGACAAGTAGCTGGGAACTTTTGCCTCATGGCATGACCTTTGTGGTGTAGCTTCCAAAGTGCGGGAAGTAGGGACGCTGCTATACTTTGACTATTTTTGCTCTGACGAGCGTCCTGGGAAGGCCTTCTCCCATGAGCGTGGGACCAGGGGGAGAGAGGAGGAGTGGGACACGACGACGACGAGGAGGAGTGGTGGGCAGCGGGCGACTGCGCTCGGGAGCCTCTGCCCGCGCTCCGCTCCCGGGGAGGCCTCCGGCTGCCGCAAGAGGCTCGCGGCCCGAGTTGTATGAGGCAAGCCCAACTCGGCCGTGCCGCGCATTGCTCTTCTTGCCACTGGCATCTCCCCTCCTCTTCCTCCTCCTTCTTCTCCTCCTCCTCCTCTTCCTCCTCCTCCTCCTCCTCCTCCTCCGTCTCTCCTCCCACACTTCCTCGGAGATGTCCGGTCGTGACAACCGACAGCTCAGCCAGGCATTCTTCAGATCTGATCGTACCTGTCTGCGAAGCTTGCAGAAAAACAGTTCCGCTCAGTTGCATAGTGCAGCAGGTCAGTCACTGTCCAGCTTTTCATTCGCTGCTCCCGAGGATGGTTGGTTGTACATCGCCTGCTTGCCTAGGTGTAGATGTTGTTGAATGTGATATTTGATCTCTCTGATGCTGTCTCTCCAATGACTGATGTAGATTTCTCGCTCGCATCCTTGGAGTGTTTGGAGGTAGGTGAACACAGCTTTTCGTCGCCGCCATGTCTTCTTCCATGCGATCTGGCTGATGTTCATGGTCTGGTAGCACTGCTGCACTTGCAGTAGTAAGTGTGCCTGTTCTTCTGTTTGTAAGTAGCTCTCCACACATGGTACGCTCCACATCTTCTGGTTCACCTCGCTGATCTGCTGGTCGTTGCTGAGGTCCACCGCCCAGGAAGCTGCCCACACACAAAGGTCGTTCATTAGAATTCGATGCTCCTGGTGTGGTGTTCAGGCTCAGGTCCTGGTATGTTGGTGATGTTCTGCTCTGTGATGCCATCGTCGTCGGCTGCATCTTCTGCCTCGACAGCCTGTGCCCAGAATACTTCGCCCCCATGGCATCCTTCTGCTGGTGGCTCGCCTGCGGCTTGTAGCGTAATCCCTGTGCTGGCTCTGTTGACCCGCTTGTCGTTGCTGGTGCCTGAGCCGTTGATGAAGGCATAGTTGCATCTTTGGGGTTTCATTGCCGCCATAATTCTCCTCCCTCTCCTTCTCCTTCTTTCTTACCTCACGCACATCACAGCACGCACGCACGGCAGGCGCGCACATGAGACACGCGTAGCACACTTCACAACACAGCGCAGCGCAGCACAACACAGCGCTGCTCAGCACAGCTCAGCTCGGCACAGCACAGCACAGGAGTGGCACTTTCTCGACACCAGAGAGGGGGTGCGCAGGGGGTGGTCTCTCACCGCGGCTTCTATGCGTGCCAGGGTCGCATGGCCTAGCAGGCGTGGCACTTTCTCGACACCGGAGGGGGTGCGCAGGGGGTGGTCTCTCACCGCGGTCTCCATACGCACCAATGTCGCAGGGCCTGGGGTGCGCAGGGGGTGGTCTCTCACCGCGGTCCCTATACGCGCCAATGTCGCAGGGCCTAGCAGGCGTGGCACATTCTCGACACCGCAGGGGGTGCGCAGGGGGTGGTCTCTCACCGCGGTCTCTATACGCACAAATGTCGCAGGGCCTAGCAGGCGTGGCACTTTCTCGACACCGCAGGGGGTGCGCAAGGGGGTGGTCTCTCACCGCGGTCTCTATACGCGCCAATGTC